AGCTCATCTAAAGAATTTTCAAATGGTTTACTAACCCTGCAGAAAGTTACAATTTTTATACACATTTTAGAACTTCAGAGCTAAAATTTACATGGTTCTTAGATCGTACTGTACTTCTTCTTTATGGAATAACTTTTTCCTTAACCTTAACCTTTAAAAGGTTAAAGAAAAAGTTTGCATCACAGAGTTAAAGAGTCAGACCTTACCAGTAAGTTTCAAACTTTGGTGCAATTTGTCCAAGAAGCTTGCAACTTGCAAGTCTACAATTAACTGATTGAGAGAGTTGACCCTTGGAGATGGCAATACCAAGGACCTGCAAATAAATTGATGCATTTGTAATTTAAAAACTAATTTTTTCTTTTCACTGTTTATTCATATAAGAAGCTGTCCTCTTCCAGAAAATATCAACCATAAAATTTCAGGAGCTCTTTCTGTTTCTCTACAACCATAAATTTTCATAATTAATGACCTTTGTTACTTTTCAGTTTGGCAGCTTTTTGTAACACTTGTTTTGAGCGTCAACTATCATAAGAGAATGGTAACAGCCCTGAATCTTCATCATCATTCCTGGAATATTACAATTTAGTATGTTTGGATTTTTATGGTGCTTATTCCAAGGAAAGCTTCTGTGCCATCTTTCAATTTATTTGTAGAGTGAGGTGCCTTATTTATATGAAATAGATGCTGTGATGCACTTGCTTCATTTCTTGAAAGAGACACTTAACATAGTAATGCAGGTTTAAAAATACCAAAGTATTATCAAAGGTGAAAGAGATTTTATTAAAAAATAAGCATCTACCTCTCTTTTTATAACATCTTTTGGAAGGAAATCAATTGATGTCAGGAGGGTTTCAAGCCATGAATTTGCCACCACTGCAATAAAATGATTCATGTATGATTTCATGAGGGTCATAGTCATGCATTAAGAGCAAAACTGTCAATAACAGCCAGTAGCTGGCCAAAAGTACCAGCCAGTTAGTTACCTTAAGTAAGTTTCTCCCC